GCCCGGCGGTGAGCAGGGGCTTGGGCTCGGGATGGACAGCAGCGAGCGCTGGGGATGGAGGGGAGCCCTCGGGTCCGGGGGGAGTTGCTCTGCCTCTATTAATTAGAGTTTGGTGCTCGGTCTAATTAGCAAGAAGGAGAATAACTCAGAGTTGGGGTTGGCGCGGCTGTCTGCAGCGCCCGTGCGTGGGCATTGCTCTCGATAGCGCCTATGGTGCATGGGTGTTTCTCTCCGTAGCACCCGTGGTGCACAGGTGTTTTTCTCTGTAGCACCCGTGGTGCACAGGCATTGCTCTCCGTAACACCCATGGTGCGTGGGCATTGCTTTCTATAGCACCCATGGTGCACGGGAATTGCTTTCCATAGCACCCATGGTGCACAGGTGTTCGTAGCACCCATGGCGCATGGGCATTGCTCTCCGTAGCACCCATGCATGAGCGTTTCTCTCCGTAGCACCCATTAATGCGGCCCTTGCAGGCGAGGGGATGTACACCGTGACCCCGTGGGTCCCCCTCAGCCCATCTGCAAGCCGTTCTCCCCATCCTTCATGCAACAGCTCTTGTTTTTAAGCTCCCTGGCTCGGTGCGTGGGGATTGCAAAGCGTTTTGCTCCATCAAGGGGCTCGTCGGGCTGGTCCCTGCTCAGCACAGGCCCCGAGGCTCCGAAACCCGTGGCCATGGCAAGCGGGGGGACGATGCATTACAGATGTTGGCGGCGCCGCTTGGAGCCACCTGATCAATGGTGACAAAGCGTGGTCCCCGCGGGGGCTTCCTCTGCCACTATCCATTAGGAGAAATGAGATGTTACAGCCCCAGCCGGCGGCTCCTGCGGTGGCTCCGAGCGGGAAATGTTGCTGGTGACAGTGATAAAGTCACTGCTTGCAGCAGCACCGACTCCAGGGGAGGGAGAAGACGGGGTAGAGGAGCCAAGCGAAGGGCACCCGACGTGCTGAGGCTGTTGCAAGCCCTTCCTATGCCGGGCAATGCTGCTGGAAAGTCCCAGCGCAAAAATAAAAGGCTTTGAAAATGTAGGGGTGCTGGTTTGGGGGTGCTCGGGAGGAGCCGGGCTGGAGGCAGCGACCACCCAGCTGCACCGGGATGCTGCTTTTTACCCCTCGCTCCTGGAAAGCATCTCCCGCCTCGCCTCTTCCAGCAGCAGAAATTCACAGCCCCTTCCAAATTTTCAAGCCAACCCAATTCACGCGGGTTGTGCCTCCGATTCATAAACCTGCTCCCCTTTAGGCAAAAACTCTCGGGTTTTACAGCTGTGAAGAAATTCTCTAAAATCTGAGCAAAGCCACTGATGGAGAGATCTTGGGCCAGTAACTGCGAGAAGTCTGACTCGTGCCATTCATCTACACGCCGGCTGGGTCGTCTCGGCGCCTCGGAGATGATAATTTAAATGTCAGCATGGGGAACTCTTTTAATTCCTCATGCTCAGGCAGGGAGAGAAGGTCATAAGCATCAGCACAGTTTATTGAGCTCTCTGTTACCGCTGGGCGAGGGCATCGCTCCGGCTCCAGGGAGGCAGCGGGGAGCCCGGGCTGCGCCTCCCAAAATTGCACAACCCTCTTGCAGTATCGATTTGAGCGTGCATGTGGTTCAGCGATGCTGGAGAGTGGGTACTGGCATGGGTGCTGCCCTTTGGGGGATGGAGGTGGGTTGCGGTGCTCATTCTGGGATCAAACCATCCAGGTTTGGGCAAATAAATCAACCACTCTGTATTTTTGGAAGCCAGATTTGCCGGCGGCGGCGTTTTGGGTGGTTCTGAGCAATGTAGGACCGAGTGGTCCAGCAAGCTCAGGGCGGGAGGAGGAATATCAGCCAGCTGAGCTAAATGCAGGTGCTTGAGTGAGCTGAGGAGGGAAGCAGAAAAAAAGCTAAAAAAGAGGTTTTCCAGGGGGATGAGTTTCTCCCAGCAGCTGCAACATGGGATGCTGCAAACCCCAGTGCTACCCCCCAAGCGCGCTAAGCATTGCAGTCACCCCTTGCAGCCCCTTCAGGGTATTTTTCCTCTTGCCATAGCAAATGCTTGTTGCATTTGCTTGGGGAAAGGGTGTAAATTCAGCCCCAGGACGAGGATGGTTGAAGGAATCCAGACCAGAGCCCAGCGATGCCCCGTGCCCCAGGGTGCTACGGAGACCTCCTGTCCTTTTACAACCCACTTTGTCCTCCAAAATCCC